ACCCGGGGGAAACCGGGGCCGGCCCCGCCCCTGGCGCGCGGCGCACTGGAGGCGCCGGCCCCAGGAGCGTGACACGCACCGGCACCTGGTGCGCGGGCGGCCCCAGCCCTGGCCCTGGGGCACATGCTGGCGCTGGGTGTAATGGAATCTCCACCCCTGGCGTGCCCCAGGACGCACGGCCCCGCCCCCGGGCGCCCGGCGCGAGTGTGGCCCCGCCCCCGGGCGCCCGGCGCGAGTGTGGCCCCGCCCCCGGGCGCCCGGGAGCCCGTAAAGGTTGGGGACCACTGGTGTAGATGGAGCTTGGTCCTGCCTTGAGGGCGGGGGGCTGGACTCGATGACCTCTTGAGGTCCCTTCCAGTCCTATGATTCTATGATTCTATGATAAAGCCAACAATGTTTCTACTAAAATGTGGTATGTTTGGACTAGATTGTAAACTCTTCAGGATAGGGCCTGTACATTATTCTGTGTTTGTTTACAGTGGCTAATACAACGGGGAGCCAATCTCAACTGAGTCCTGTAGCATGAACTTCTGCAGTGAGAACTAAATTTGTGAACGTGGGTAACACTATCTTTGAATGCGTACATACTGGGATATTGGGAGGTCAAAATAAGTCAGACCAAAATAACATCATTTAATTTTATTTAAAATCTCACAGTACTTAAAATGTTTGTGTTGGCAATACTGTTATTTATTTATATGATGGGAGAATGTAAAGGTTCCCCATCATGGATCAGCCCCCCATTGTGTCATGCACTGTACACACCCAAAATGAAGAAATGGTCCTAGTCCCAAAGTGCTTACAATTTTAGCATAAGACAAGAGACAACATGTAACTGCAACAAACAGTTGGGGAGAGCACAAGGTAACAGCAAGACAATTAGAGGTATAAAGGAAAGATGGGGCAATAATGAATTAAGCTCAAGAAGTAGTCGAGGAATCACTGTGCTCTTGCAGTTCATATAGTGTAGTTATTGACAAATGTTCAATAAATGGGGAGCTGGTGGTGAAGCCCAACCTCCATTTTAGATGTGTCCTTTGTATGTTTTATTAATTGACCGTGTTAGCTAATGCTGATTGGTTTTGGTTGATATGTTTTATTTGGATTTGTTTGGGTTGCCAGATGGTTTCAACAAAAATACCAGACACACTTGACATTACATCACAATCTACATTACATCTTATTTAGAAAATAGTGGACATTTATATTTTCTCTATTTGTTTCCCAGATAGAAAGCTCAAATACTGGACTGTCCGGTTCAAAACCGAACACCTGGCAACCCTAGATTTTTTATAAAAAGGTTTTTATAACCACTGCATTCAGTGATAGTAACCCCTTCCTCCCCACACACACTTTATGACTAAGTACATAATCTTTTGTAATGCTGACCTATATCTATGATTTTAGAAAGCAGTTACTGAGAGATTTTTAGCACTGGATTTAGCACCATGAAAAAGTGCCATGAATTCTTTACTGACAAGGACCTTGGTTATCTATTTTATCTGAAAGAAGACAACTCGAGTGGCAGATTTACCACCTGACACTGTTTTTCAATTCAGCACTGGCTCATATATTATCTAGTGAATCACTAATATCAACATACTGACTCATGGTAGCAGTGAGGAAGTGCACCACACCCTGCACCCCCCATGTCCCCACCAAAATTTTAATTGCTAAACAGGGTGCTCCCACAGGCTCCTCCAGTCTCTCTCTCCCTCCCCCACAGAGACCAGTTGTCCCAGAAAACCAGTACTTTCAGCACATGAATTTCCTACCTAAGGATTAACCTAGCCTATCCCAGTCTAATATATGAGATCAAGCACTATCATTGCTTGAAGTGGTATGGCTCCAGCCTCCAGCATTACTAATTACTAATACAGGTTGTTGCATAAATGCTCCGCCTGAGCTATTACTTGATTTTACCCATGGATTTTCTAGAAATACACTAAACTGTAAGGTCCTGCCAACACGAGTTAGAGACTTACAAAAACCTCCTGCTGACTGCCTTGCTGTCGGGGAAAGGGAGGGCAGTTGTTTTCTAAGTCACTTCATTACTGATGATTTGTAAATGATTTTCTGAAGCTTTTTAATTATTTCAGCTGCATTGCCTTTTAAACTCTGCAATTCGTTGTAATCTTTGTAAAACCTTGCAACTTCGTAACTCTCAGCAACTTAGCTTTATAAATTCAGAAACCTACTGTAAGCTTGGTGATTGTTGAGCCATGCAACTTTGTAATCTTTGTAACTCTCAGACACCTAGCTTGTAACTTGCTCTAAACAGCATTTCCCCCTGAAATATGAATATGTGTACGTGAGTGGAGACTATTGTGTGTTTATGATTAGAAACTGCAAGGCTGAGCATGTGGATCCAGACGAATTAAGGAGACTGCTGCTCTGCTGGATCAAGGGAAGTCTGGGCATGCTCCCTGGTGACGAATGAGGATGAGTCACAGAAGGTTGTACAGAGGCAATAAAAGTAGTAGCCCTCTTTCTGAGAAGGTCTTCCTGGGACGTTATTTCTTTTCTGATCAGCGCCCCAGCCACGATCAGCAGACAGACCCTCCAGAACCAACATACCTTGGTTCTTTCTGCAACCTGTATGCCTGTGTGAGTGCCTGAGGGCAGGAATTAATGTGTGTGAATGAGTGACTGAATGAATGAAGGTATGTGTGTTTGTTTGTGTGTGAGAGAGATAGCTGGTTCTCCTTGGCTGTGTCTAGACTGGCAAGTTTTTCCAGAAAATCAGCCGCTTTTCCAGAAAAACTTGCCAGCTGTCTACACTGACCTCTTGAATATCCGCAAAAGCACTGACTTCCTACTGTAAGAAATCAGTGCTTCTTGTGGAAATACTATGCTGCTCCCGTTCGGGCAAAAGTCCCTTTTGCGCAAAACTTTTGTGCAAAAGGGCCAGTGTAGACAGCTGAGATTTGTTTTCCTCAAAAAAGCCCCGATCGCGAAAATGGCGATCGGGGCTTTTTTGCGGAAAAGCGCGTCTAGATTGGCCATGGACGCTTTTCCACAAAAAATGCTTTTGCAGGAAAGCGTCCGTGCCAATCTAGATGTTCTGTTCCGAAAATGCTTTTAACGGAAAACTTTTCCGTTAAAAGCATTTCCGGAAAATCATGCCAGTCTAGATGTAGCCCTTTAGTTTAAACCTTTAGTGGCAGCTCTATCCTCTTTAGTTTAACCATATAGTGGAGAGTTAATTCCTCAATCAATAAATCCATGCTAGTATAACCCTGGATGGTCTTCAATGGGAATTTTTGGGATAACACAGTTTGCAGCTCTCTGAACCAGCACACTTGGTCCAGCAACATCTGTGGTCCTGCAGGATCACATATGTTCCAGAACCAGAGTGTCCCAATGAAAGGCTGGCGGCTGGGAGTGGGGAGTCCATGGCAGGCAGCAGGGCTGCCTGGGGGGGCTGAGAGCCTGGTGTGCAGCTCCGGTGGACTGAGATCCTGGAATGTGGCAGCGGGACTTCCTGGAGGGACCAGGAAACCAGGGTTGGTGGCGGGGGGCCAGAAATGACCTTTCCTGGTCCAGCAGGCTGTCAGACCAGGGAGATCCAACCTGTATCTCATTCACATTTTTGACTGCTGGACACAGTGAGCAGATATCCTCCTTTTTGTCATCCATGAGGTATCTTTCCCCTAGAGATGACAGCTATTGCAGAGTACATCTGTTTAGTTTGCTTTGCTTGTGCTTTCCATATGCAAAGATGTGTGTTTTAATTATTATATTTTAAGATTCTGAAAACCAATGGCCGCTTCCAGGATCTCACCCCAGCCCTAACAAACTAAACCGAAGTCAACATTAGAGCATTCAGAATTATGACATGAAAATGTTTAGATTTTAGTATTTATCCAAGATGCCATAAGAAGTAGTTTTAGAATTGTAGTTATGGCTCATTACTATGGCTCCGGCCCACTGTCACGAGTTAACTGAGGCTATCTGCTTTCTTCAGAACAGTAACTCCTTCATGCTGCATCACAGTTTGTTTGGTTTGAAATGTGCTGTTGAGTGCTAC